AAATAAGAGTAAAAGTAATATGAATTCAAATAGGAAAAGTAGAAAGAAAAAGCAAATTTCAAACAGAAGTAAACAATTGATCCTTATTTACAAGAGCTGAACTAGTGCAATTGTGATAATGCTTCTGGTAGTTCCTATTAACAGCATCATAGTTGAGATTTTTATAGACAGCCAAGCCTATATAATTAAATCGAGCATCGAGTTGTATATTAAAATTTTAATCGGAGTTATTTTCCATGATTTAACTTAAATCAATTATCGACTCCGATTTAAAGGCGGCAAATTAGTCACGTGAATTAATATTTTAAAAGATGCGCGGCTGCGACTGCGTAATATTACTCTCTTCTCGCTCGACAAAAAAAAAAAAAAAAAAAAAAAAAAAGATTTCCGACTATTTACAAACATGGATTTTAAAACCATTCTCATACGTCCGTTAAACATTTTTTCTTTACCGACAGAAATTCTTTCCGAGCTTGCATCTCGCAAGGTAGAATCTTTACCGCAGTTCAATCTTGACCAAAATAAAAGCGATATAACAATCGAGCGTGAACCTCTTAGGCCAACATGTTTGGCCTGTGGTATCTCGTCTTTTGATAATGTAGAGCAACAAAGAGCTCACTACACGTTGGATTGGCATCGATTCAATGTTAAACGCCGTTCGATAAATATCGAAGCTGGAAAGTCGGACTATATTCCCGTTACAGAACAAGAATTCGAAGAATTTACGGGTGGTAGGTCGGAAACCATCATTTATGAAAAAGGATATCTGATTAATCTGTAATTTTATTTCAGATGTTTTATCGAGTATTTCTGGATCTGAGAGTCCGGGATCTGATTCGTCATCTCAGAATGATGATATCGCAACCCTTGTGGAAGAATTTGAAAACCTTAATATTCATAAAAAAGGAACGTCGGTTAAAGGGAACCAAAGAAAATCGGCACCAATATTGTGGTTTACCGGTTCTAATATTTTGGCTGATGGGGTTTATCTTGGAGTTTACAGGAACACCCTTTACAGTAAAGGTGACGGTCTTGGTAACCCTATTAATGATATCAAGAGATTACAAGTAACATCGAACGAACAGCAAAGGTACTGGACGATGCTTATGATCGGTGGTGGTCACTTTGCCGGACTTGTTTTAGACATAGTTCTGAATTCAAAAGTTGCGAATCCCAAGGAGGTTAAAGTAATTGTTCACAAAACTTTTCACCGGTATACAAGTAAGAACGGTTTTAATTGATGGTAATTTTTTAAAGTGTTTGTAAAATCTAGGATTTTTATAGTCTTTCTATTCTCACATGTTAGCACGTAGAAAACAAGGCGGTAGTCAAATGAATAGTGATAATGCAAAAGGAAAGGCAAAATCAGCTGGTGCCAGCATAAGGCGATATAATGAATCTGCACTGCAAGATGATATTCGTCTTTTGCTTGATCAATGGAAGTCTATGATTGATCAGAGCGAACTTGTTTTCGTACGCGCGCCAAGCGCTAACAAAAGAATTATCTATAACTATGATGGGGCAATATTGAAAAAAGGTGCGATTGAAAATGGGTAGTTATGTTTTAGATACTTTTAAAGTTCTCGGCTATTTATCTATTATCCAACATAGATGATCCTCGTATCAGATCTTTTCCATTTTCAACCAGACGAGCGGTTAGTGTCATATATAAAGCCCCGTTGTATTTAAATGATCTTATGCTAATCGCAAAAACCTGATATTTCAGACATTCAATGAATTAAAAAGATGCTTTGTTGAATTTATCACTGTTAAGGTTTCGCAGATGACTGAAGAAGCACTGCAGGATCATGAAAAGAAATCCGAAAGTATGCAACGATCTATCAAGGATAAACCTCCCCTCGATATAAGAGAAGACAAATCTATTGAGGCAACAATCAAGTCTACTAAACCTGATCCTCTAGCGTCTGATGCTGTCCTGAAGCTCATTAACCTAATTAAACAAGGAAAGTTAGAATTGATGAAAAACCATATTTCTAAACATTCACTTGATATACTAGGTTTACTTCCTAATACTCCTGTCGCCGAAAATGACATTAGCAAGACTCCAACTTTGCTTCATCTAGCGTCATCCTTAGGTCACAATGACATTGTTAAATATTTGTTGATCGAAAATTCTGATCCTACAATTTTGTCAACGAGGAATATGACGCCATATGATCTAGCAAAGGATAAGGAGACGCGTAATATCTTTCGTAGACATATGGCAGATCATCCTGAACAATGGGACTGGTCTTCTGCACATCTACCTAGTCCTTTGACGAAAGAAATGGAAGAAGAGCAGCAACGGAAGTTGAAAGAAAAGAAGCAAAAAGTAAAGGATAGGAAAAAGAAAGTAAATGCAAATAGAAAAGAAAAGGAACTATCTGATGATGTTCAGCAAAATCAAGACGCATCCAGGACAGTTAATGTGGATGCAGCAGAAAAATCAACTGTAAAAAATAATCCTTCAAGGTCTGAAAAAATTCCTGGAGGAGCAACTGACTCTTTGTTGGGCATATCGCCTGAAATGCGAATGAGAATCGAGAGAGAAAGAAGAGCAAGAGCTGCTGAATCTAGGTTAGGCATCAATACATGTACGATGTGTAAGAAGTCTCTCTCCGGATTAGTTCCATTTGAAAAAATGCATTTAAAATTTTGTAGTATTACTTGTGTTAGAAATCATAGCGAATCTCAGGCATAATTAATGGTTTCTAGTATTATATAAAATAGGCACAGGAATAACATTTTCGTTGAATTTTAATTGTTTTCTATATTTTCATCGTTGCGCTCTTGTTTGGTATACTTAAAAAAATCATGGTCGCATAGTTAAACACTTTGAATTCGGATATATTAGATTTTTTTGATAACATAAATTCATAGGATGTATTATAATATTCAAGATTTTTTACATTAGTTCAAATTAGATTGAAGAAACTATTTATTTTTATTATATCAGTTAAAATACGATTTATAAGTTTAAAGAAAATCGCAATTATATTTTTTTGTATAGTTCACAGTAATGTTAGTGAGTTTATTAATTAGAAGAATATATAAATACTCATTCATTCGTATATATCACAGCAAAACCATTAACATATTTTAGATATTAAGTCTTTTTAAAATTGATCTTGAAGACATTTGTTATTTCATATTATATTTTAAATTAAGTTTTTTCTCTTAATTCATATATTATAATTAACAAGTTATTGCATCAATTATTTTTTATCAAAGTAATAAATAATAGAAATTAAAAATAACATTGAAAAAAGAGATATATATTAAAAATATATAGTATAAGTATATTATTATTTTTTTTTGACCTATCATCAAACTATTATGGCCTATCTTTATTGTGTATTTAAAATTATTATATAATTTAAAAAACTTTCACATGATAACTCACCTATCTTAAAAGTTTAATTTCTCTAGATGCAATTTAGAGAATGATATTTTGCTCTCTTAATAACTTGAATTATTCTTTAGCTATCAAGTTTATTTTTTTTTTTGCCCTCTTCAGGCTAGTTACGTATGCTTTATTAAACATTTGTAAACTGTACATATAATATAAGGCGTTAAAACTAATTCTTTAACTAACTCACTTGTCTTGGTTGTTTTTACCTTTCTAAGTGCAACTTTGGAAGTAATTTATTGCTCCATTAAGAGTTTAGGTAAATACTCTTTCAACTTCTAATATCATTGCCTGCAGATTACTATTGCAGATTACTCTTTTGAGTTTTAACAAAGATTAAAACCCAACCATTTCATCCTATACTTTACCCTATCTCTTATGACCTGTTTAAGCATCACATTTTCTGATTCTTCTTCCTTTAATAGTACTTGATATGACTGATTTCCTGGTACCTGGATTTTATTTTTTTGCTTCTGTAGATGTGTCAGCCTTTTGATCTTGTCACTTCTGTTGATTCCTAATGTCCGTTCCCACTCTATCATCTTTTCACATCTGACATTCCAAATTTTCTTTTTGAAATGGTTACATATTTTCTTCTGCATCTTTATTATCCATTTTCTTGCTTCTTTACTGATTCTCTTTCCATAGCACTTTGAGTCTGCTATCTTATTTATTAGATCTTTTTCAATTAGTCCCATGCAAAAGCTAAGTATATCCCAACCAGTGTTTGGGATCCTTTCCATTAGTTGAGCTATTTTCTTATCTATTTCTCCTCTTTCCATTCTATCATCAACTGCCAGGTTTATCTTTTTCTTCTGACTCCTTTTTCCTATCTACCAGCAGTTTGTTGAAACTTTGCATCATATCTTCCATACCCTTCTGCCAGGTTTCTTGCCACTGAGTTCTGTATACTGGATATTCTAGCAAGTGTTCTATTGTCTCTTTATGCTATCCATATGTGAGACATTTTACTTGCTTGTATAAGTCTAGTCTTCTTGTGGCTAGCTTTGTTAACGTGGGTAGCTCATCGCTAATCATCTTAACAAGAAAGCTTTTTCTTTGTGATCCTTTGAAAGAGGTATTCCATGTATGCCCATTATTCATTTGTTCCCAAACTAGGTCCCATGTGTGTCTGTGCTAGTCTTGGATTTGATGACCCCATTTTTTATCTATTCTATTTTGAGTTGTTCATTGTTGTATCATTATTTTGGCATTAGTTTTTTTAACAAACTGTCTTATTGGAGCATCCAGTACTATATCTTGTCATTTGATTTCA